ATTGGAAAGAGAAATGTAAGTTTAGTACTTATATATTCAGAAAAATGGACAAAAAATAACGGAACACAAACGAAAACATCATCTGTTAAAATGATAAGATCAAAAAAGTAAAAAGTGGTTGGCGAATGATGAATAATATTTTCTGTACTTCTGTGATGAATTTTCATTAGTCATAACGTGACACATTGTTTTTGTTTTCTGTAACGTAGTAACCATCTCTTTCACTAAAGTGTTGTAAATGGCTTCGATGAATCACAATGAGCTGTGTCGTGTTATATTTTAATATACCGTTACGAGATGTTACTGAGGGTGGGATGTAGGTATTATCGTCATTCATATCCATACCAACGTATATTTCACTATTGTTAAAAATGCTGTGTAGCATTACTAAAAGATAGATATAAACACTGACACTAAAACTTTGGAAGAACCGTTCGTTACAGCTATATTTCTTCGGAGCGTAAACTATTTTATGTGTCTTTTGTAAAATCACATTGAGTAAAGCATATGTTCTGGAATAGTAAAAGTTTAGTTCCTTATGCCACATAAAATGTATATCGCTTGATCGTTCAATCTAGTTTGGTACCTGAAGTTGTAAACAAATGATAACAATTTTATAGGACTAAGTAGATTACACTATTGAAGAATTATATTTTCAAATCCAAATCGTTTGGATCATTTGAAACTAAACGTAAATCAAATCCAAAACGTTCGGGTTTGTTGCATCTCTATCCTAAAAGGACTCACTATTTTCTTCTGATGAAACGACCAAATTCTGACAAAAAGATGTAGCCACGAAATATCAAAGATTTCGACTGCATGCAAAAAAGTGATGTAAAAAATCGATCCTAAATCGATTATAATCAATGAAAAGCATACAAAACTGAATTAAAATTCTACTACTTTTAATCACTTAAAATTTATTAAAAATGATTTCTTACAAGATATTTAATTCGTTTTAATCAAAAATAATCGGAATAATTGATGAAATTTTGGTATTTTTTTCTTGATTACAACTGATTTGCAATCGATTTTTTTTCGATGAATTTTATAAGACTTTTTTATACGGGACAGGGTTTGGAACAAGATCTTAGAAAGATTCTGAGTAGCTTTTCATTCTTTTAAGATCAAAAATCTGCCAGGACTTCAATGATTCATAGTTGAAAAAGAAATTTTTGTCCACATCTTGCATGATTTTATTAGACTTCCTCGAGGATGTTATGAGATTTCTTGATAGGATTTTTGCAGAGTTTTTTGAAGCGAATAGAAGAGAAATGAACATATACAGCATCGATCTCTACAGCTTTCGCTTAACCGCTGAATTGTACCATGTTATTACATCTAATTACAAACTTCCATATTTTAAGTTTCGACTGAATCCTTAACTTATAATTGAATTTTATGTTAACACAAATTATCTGAAAAAGTTTTACAAATACAATGTCATTTTAAATGTCGTTTTTAGTTTATATGATCCCACAATTTTCTGTTAATTTCAATTCGATGTTAAAAAAAAACCTATTTCTAGTTCTTTCTACACATAATCTAAGCTATGAACAGGTTTTATCAAATGATTTGTCGCTTTCTAAACGCATCTATTTAATGGAAAAAGTTAGTACAATAAATAAAATACATACGTAGCAAACCAATTTGACATATACAAAACACAATTGCAAAAACAAATGTTTAAGATACTCGCACCACAGTTAAATACATAAATCAACGAAAGATATTGGTTTGTTTATCAAACTAGAAAAAGTAATGTAATATATAATACTTTGATCTATTAACGTCAGTAGTCATGTGTTTTGAAAAAGAACGCTCGGTCATGATGAAAACGAATGTACAAATGATTATTATCACTGCTTGTCACTTAAGTAAGCAATAAATATTACTTCATCTATATATATACAAAAAAACAGACACTCTTACTTTCGTCGTTCAACGCACATGTTCAGGTGGGAAGGAAAAAAATTTTGTCATTATGAAAGAGAATGTGTGAAAACGTGTCGTCATCGTTCGTTACCTAATAAAGAAATACATAGTGCTTTTTCTATCAAAAAAAGTTTTACTTTCATCTTTGAAATCGGTTATCGACATGTTTGAAATGTAGAATGAGCAATGGTCCGAATGGTTTAGAAGTTAATATTGTTAAAGGTCCATACTTATTTCATAAAGTAATAGAAGATAGGTATCGATCTACGAAAAAATGAATTATCCTGTCTTAGTGTAGGTGTGGATTTTGCTGTTCACCCACATCCTACTTCTTGTTAATACAGACAACGTACCTATTCGAAATTATATTGCGGAATATCTTCTCAATGATTTAACATCAGATATACAATATAAAATACGAGTAGCTACAGTCAACGAATTTGATCAAGAAGAATTTCTTAAAACTGAACCAACACGTATTAAAGAACAAAATAGTAAATTACATTTATTTTTCATTTAATTATATTTCTCTTTTTAACTCCACCATTAAAATCTGTTGATTTAGCTTATATATCGATTGATGTTAGTTGGTTACAGCCAGATGAATTTGGTTCTAAAAAAACATTATTTATTTTATCAACATTCATCAAAATCAAGTTTTGAATGAAAATTAATTTATCGTATAAACTGAATGTAATTATCGTATACATTGGATACTGTTGGTTCATCATTATCATATTATCTGTATTACAATTGAATATAATCTTAATGAATTTGAATGAGAATAATATATTAATTTACTTTGTTATATTATTCAAATGAATGATGGC